ATACGAGACCAACTAAAAAAAAAAAAAAAAAAAAAAATTCGAGTACTAAGAATATCAAGAATCTACTAGAGAGCGTTTTCTTTTTCAATGGGCATTACAAGTAGCGAATCCGAATTATTTGGAGTCCCAAACAATTTTGAGATTTGCATCAGAGCTAGTTCAAATTTCAGAGGAAAATTCTACGTAATTTCTTTTTATTTGTGTACATATTAATAAGCAAATTGTCTGAGAATTATTCGATACTTAAACTAACGAGAGATAATAGATTTCGGCATGTTAAACATATAATCTAAATGTGTTCAAGCTGATTCTAATATCATCGTTAATAAAAAAACAAGAGAGTTCGATCCTACCAATAATATTCGTGTGGAAGAAGATTAAAATAGAAAATACTTTATACATAGTTGTACATCCATATTTTATAACATTATATCTCTTTGACCAAGAAAATATTTTATATGTACAAAACACAAGCCCGCAACAACTCCTCCGGACAAACATATACTCTCTCCGTTTCAATTTATGTGAACCTATTTCCTTTTTTGTCTTCATTCCAAAAGTCTTTATTTTTCTTAAATTCTGTGTCCAGTCAAACAAATTCACATAAATTAGAACGGACGGAGTACACCATTTTAAAAAGTTTCATAGAAATATGTACTCGAAACACCCACTACACAATTCTAATACCCTACTTACACTCTGCTTTCCCAAAACCAACTCTTCTATTACTCAAATCAAATTCTACCCATAAATTTTGTTGATGAAAATTTCCAATAATATTACTTGCTATTCCAAGTGAATCCGATCGTCCAATCCCTATACAATGAACTCCTCCACCTACATCATCCAACATTTTCTCTTTATTAATCATAATCTCAACTCGATTTTCAAATTCTAACGTCATATCGCCTATTAATTGTTCGACTTGTATGGAATTTATAGTATCAAAGCACATATCGAGTGAACCACCATAAACGTACCCCTTCTTCAATTTCGAACCTACTAACTTAACAATTTCTTCTTGGACTTTATTATAAGCTTCTTCCACTAGGAAAGTGTACTGGGTGCCGGAATCAATCATCGTCTGACCAGAACCACCAGCGTTCGGCCGAAAAACCCTCTCAGAGATATTCAATCTTTTCCCGCCAATTTTTATCCCCACCATACCAATAGTATAAGCTAGGGGATCCAAATTTGGCATGCGTTGACTTTGAGGAAAAGTCAAAAGATTTATATATTGAAACATATATGAATTAGGGTTTTGACCTAGGTAAAATGTTCCACTAGGTAATATTTTTCCTTGTCTACTGGGCACACAATAAGAGAATTTTTGTACCTTAGCTTGGGAAGCAAAAGAAAACCGTCCAAGATTCATTCCCAAAATACCCTTGTCATCACTAGACTCCGTAGCACAACCAAGAATTAAAGGAGGGGTAATTTGGGAACTTGAGAAGGTAAATTTTTCTCGTACCAAATTACCCTCAGCTAAAGTACCATCAGCATAGAAGTAAGAATAGTGGCACAAACGTTTTTGGTCACACGATGTTGGGAGGGTAAAATCGGGAATTCGTGGCTTACAAAGTGGATGATTACAAGGAAGAGCAGAAAAAGAAGAGGATAAAGAAGGATCAAATGAAGTAGTAGGAGGTGGTTTTTTTGGAATTTTTTTATTACATTGAATCCAAGAAAGTTGACTTCCAGTATCTAAAACCATTTCTTGATTTTGTGGAGGTGTTCCTATAGGAAGTGTAACAATTAAAGCCATTGAATATTTGAAATTTGATTTATAACTTAAAGATGGAATTCTAGTCATGGCTTTAGAAGATTGAAAAATGGAATTTGTTGAAGATTTTTGAGATGATAAAGGGGTTGTAGTAAGAGGAAAAGAAAGTGAAAATGGTTTATTTTCATGGGATTTTTTAGCTATTGTTATATGAAGAAAACTAAGAAATAGAAGCAAGAAAGCTTTGTATATTTCCATGGAGAAAATTCAAGAATTTGGGTAGGGGGTGAAGAAGGGGGTGGTTGGTATTTGGAGTTTGAGTGGAGTGGATGTTTGGCTATTTATATGGTTTTTGTAAAGAGGAAAAGGAAAGGCAAAGAGGAAATAAGGGAAAAAGAAAAGCAAAAGCCAAACGCGGTTTTGAAGATAATATTTTGAGTTGTTTGTAAGTTGTTTTATAATGATCATAGTTACCTACTGAAAATTGTAGTTGAGCCACTGCTTGTTTTTTTTTTTATTTCTTTTTCTATGTGATATTAAAAATTAATTGATATTGTGATTAGGGGCAAAGGTACAAAGCCTTCGTCGAAAAATTATACTGTATATATAGGTAAAATATTAGATTTTAGTGGTATATAACATATATTGAATATCTTTTATCGGGGTTTTTTATTTTTTATTTATTTCAAGTTTGAACACCCTAAGTGAAATTTATGGTTTCGCCACTGATTGCGCTAATTTATATTTGTATCGTGTAAGGTTCACTAAGATGAAAACAGTATTGTCTGTTAGGAGTTTTTCTATTCCGACTATTCAAATCTAAAATCTTTAATTAAGGATGAAGAAATTTTAATCTATCTTACTATAGTCATCGATAAATTCACAGTCATAGACTCTTTCCCTATGAAATAATCCTTCTACCACCCTATGAGAACCTAAAAAAAGAAGGAAAAAAAAAAAGAAAGAAGAAAACAAAAAAAATTAAATCAGATGGTTTTATTTCTCAATTTTTTTGACTTGCTCCTACGAAATCAAGGTCGAAAAGATTTAAAAAATCAACAATTCACAACTATTGACGAAGGATTCCTCGATCGAAAGTTAGATGTACATTGGATCTCACCCGAATCACATCTCTCCCTCCCGGAGCCCAAGTATCATATACGCCCCCAAAATAAGAGCCTTGGATACTAAAAAAAACAGCTAGACCTAACAAGATTAAGTGAATACCTAAAATTAAATAAAAAGTTTTTTTTTTTGAAAAATAAATTAAAAAAGGTTTTGGTTCTCTTCTTAGAGAATTCCTCTTTTCTTTCCTTTAGTTTGTGAGCCATATACTCTTTCCCTATAAAATGACCCTTCTACCAACCTACGATTACCTTAAAAACGAAAAAAAAATAAAAAATAGTAAGAGTTTTTATTTAGAACAAGATTTTTTTTTTGAAAAAAGCATTGGTTTTGTGGTTAGGGAATTCTCATTTTTCTTTCATTCTTTTTCTAAGGAAAATAAAGTTATTAACATCTGCAATTAAAACAAATGAAGTTGAAAGGTGGAAAATAACAAAAAAAAATAGATAAAATAATTTTATATCCTATTGTATTAATCAGGAAGACAAATTTAGAAATTTAAGTAATTAGCTTTTTATGAGGACATGATTTTCTAAGCACAAGGAACAAATTCTTAATTTCCTCAAAGCCCAAGGCACATCCAAAAAGGTGGATGTTTGGCAAGAAATTACTTGTCCTCTAGCCATTGTTTCTTTCCTTTCACTATCTTCTTTATAAATTTTCTCCAAATCTTTTTCCAATTATTTTAGAAAATTACGAACCATTTCATTAATACAGGTGATGTCGTGCCACGAGACAATACCATGGAAATTATGGAAAAAAAAGATACTCCTTCACTACTCTTTTTTAATTAGTCGCTCTGGCTCACTTTAATTAATTTTTGACTTTTTTTATGGTACATAACACTCTCTCCGTCTCATATTAACAGTCGTGGTTACTAAAAATAGTTGTTTCCAATTATTTGTCATTTTAAAAGTTCAAGACAAAATTGATTATTTTTTTTCTTTTTTACCCTTAGTAATAATTGTTCTTGAAGATGAAGATAACACATAAATAGAATAAATATTCAATGAAGAGAGATTATATCTTAAGACATAAATAAGGGTAGAATAGTCTAATTTCTTTCCTAATTAATATTTCTTAAGGGGCGTATAAAAGAGAAACACGACACATAAAATGAGAAGGAGAGAGTATTTCTTTTTTTCATATATCAATAAGGAGTCAACTTATTTTTTCCAAAGTTTCCCTTGAAGTAAAGAGTCTAAGAGTATTTGTTATATTTTCAACGAACAAATTTAGGTGAATATGGTCAATTTTATTGTTAATTAGTGCTAACATGTTGATTTCTTAATCTGTGTGAAAACATCCAAAAATAAATTAAAGAGGATCGGAGGGAGTATATTTTAATTTCATTTCAGGACAATCAAGAACAGTAATCATTGTTGCCTTCTTCTTTTTCTCTTATTTCTATTTCCTTCTTTGTTCTTAATTCTCTCTTTTCTGATTTTTTTATTTCTTTTAGCTCCACCTTTTTCTCCACTTATAGACTTATATCAAGTTAAAATACACAAATTTTATAAATATTAAGGGGCTATTACTATAATAGTAAAAGAAACAGCCTATGGTCTAATTTATTTCTTAATTATAATCCTTTGTAGTTCACCTAATCAAGAGTTGGTATCTTCTAGACGCAAAAATGATAAATTTAGATACAAAAAAGGGGAGAACATATGTCTTTTGGCTATCTTTTGCTTTCTATATTTTTAAATTTTTCCTTTCTTATTAATAAAATTAAAAGTTAGTTATCAAAAGCATTAAAGTGGAAATCAATCTTGCTTAAAATTATAAGGTGGTCTAGAACATATATAGAATAGAATCTTCTTCTATTAACCAGTCATTTTCTGTTCATATTTCTTTTCTTGACTAATGTTCCTGTTAATGGGACCCGGTTGAAATGGTGGGGCCCATTGTGCCAATCATACAGTTGAAAATTAGTATGTTAAAGCACATAATTTGGCACTACATTTCATAGTGTATAATATAATGTAAATGCTTAAGAGGCTGTTTGGACATAAGATATTTTTTCCTTTTTTCCAAAAAATATTTTCCTTTTCTGAAATTAGCGTTTGTTCATAAAATTTCCAATTTTTATTTGAAAATACATTTTGAAAATTTTTAAAAATTTCCAAAAACTCCAAAAAGCTATTTTTCAAAATTTTCACTCGAATCACTCAAAAAACTTAAAAAACAACCCAATAATCTATTCATGTCCAAACACAACTCTATGAGCCCGTTTGGACATAAGAAATTTTCCCTTTTTTTTGGAAAATTTTTTACTTTTTTCGAAATCAGCGTTTCTTCATAAAATTTTCTATTTTAACTTGAAGATGCATTTTGGAATTTTTCAAAAATTTGAAAAATACCAAAAAGCTGTTTTTCAAAATTTTCACTCAAATCACTCACAAAACTTCAAAAACAACGCAAAATTATATTCATGTCCAAACTCAACTCTAATTTTCAAATACCATTTTCACTTGAATTTTTTTTTTTTTAAATTCTACAATTCTTATGTCCAAACGTCCACTAAATTTCAAAAATCATTTTCACTTGTAAATATTTTTCACCCTTTTTTGGAATTTTACAATTCTTATGTCCAAACGCGCACTAAGAAAATTTGAAGGATTGCTATAAGGTCCATTTCAAAATTCAAATAGTTAGGTGTTTTGCAGACATCAATCATATCGTTGCCAATTAACATCCCTTGTCTGAGACCATTGAGCAGAAAATATATTATGTGGAAATTTTAATTTTGCTTCGATTTTATTTAAATAATTATAAACAAAGATCTAGCAACAAGTGTCTAGTGTTTAATTCTTAATTTTCCATTTAAGGATAATGATATGATAGATTTACCTTTACCGCCACCCCCGTCCCCCAACCCCCCAACCCCGCGCTAAAAAAAGCGTAAGAGTGTATTACAATTCGGATATTGCAAATTAAATAATAATAATAATAATAATAATAATTTATTGTTTGGATAAGCAATTATATGAATCATATTATAAATATTCATTATTTTCCCTATATTTTATTATGTAACAGTATTTTAACCCTTTAATGGGATCAGCTATATACTAAGTTGCTCCGATATGGTAGTTTAGGTGCCGCATTCGCGTCGACATGAGATACAATTTGATTCCCGAAATTAGAATCATAACCATGATAAATTTGAAGAAAATAACATACCTTATCTAGGAAATCAATCCTTTACTTATCTACAACTTAAGAATAAAAAAGAAATCCATATTACAAGCTATATGTAAATATTTCACAAAATTTCTCATAATTTAGAGATATTTTGATATTTTTATATTTTTTAATTATTTTTAGTAGGATCCCCGCACCTGTATCCGTACTAGGATCTGTATCCCCGAGTGTTAGAATTTACATATCGTAGAATCCGACCTCTAGATTCGCATCCGTGTCCGGCACCCGCACCTATGTCCGAGCAACTTAGGTATTATATATATATATTATATATATATATATATATATATATATATATTATATATTATATATATAGATACGATAGATAGATAGAGAGAGAGAGAGATCATGAACCTATATATCCGAGGAAAAAATAATCATAGCTTAATATCAAATAAGAAAAATTTTATTCAATAAGAAGATAAAATAAGGCCTACGTTAAATTTCTTCCGGATATAATTGACAGATTTGTAAAAACCTTTTTTCTTTTCTTGAATAAGAAAGAGAAAAAGAAAAAAAGAACATTAGTTTTTTGCATGAAAAAAAAATAGTAAAATGGAGGAGCTCAAGGTGTGACGATCCAACCCGTCGTCTCATGTATTACAGCCCCGTTTCCCCCATTTATTGCTCTTTCATGTTTTATTATCAGCAACGGGTGAGTTAGAGTTTAATTGAATTGGTTTGGATAGAAATGAGACACTTAGTCTCTTTTAAGGAAGGTTTGGTTTGGAAAAGTCAACCGAACGTTGAGCTTATAGTTAGAAGGCTCGGATGTGAATTCCGGTGATTCGGTTAGCTTCGGAGGTGATTTGTGACTTAGGAGTGCGATCGGAGAGTGATTTTGGAGGTCCGAGTAGAATATAGGCTTGAATTGGCAAGTTGGCATTTTGGCGAATTCCGGTGGATAGGTGGGATTTTTGATTCGAGGGTCAGAATGGAATTCGAGAGTTGCAGTAGCTCCGTTAGGTGATTTTGGATATGTGTGCAAAATTTCAGGTCATTCGGGACGTCGTTGGTTGGGTTTGTGATCGAATGCGTAATTCGGAAGTTTTTAAAGAAACTTAGGCTTGAATCCGATGTAATGTAATGA